TCAGGCTGGAGGGCAGAGGAAATGGCAACTTTCTTCGCTGTGAAAGTGTTGTGGGGCTCAAGCGTTTGGGGGTTTTCAGAGTCAACCGTCAAAGGCGAGGGAGTTTCTCTGCTGGTGGTGGCAAGGACTCTCAGCGTGTACAGCCAGCAAGCAGACCGCTGCGGTCTGAAGAGAAAATGCCAACTGTGTTTATTTTTCACCTGCGCCTGCAGGAAGTGGGGGGGGGGCAATTGGGAGGGGGCAGGGACGGCCCAGCCAGGCCCAGGCTCGACTTCAAAGCAGAGGAGACTTACCTCAGGAGTCCTCTCCCCATTTTCACCTCCTCCTGACCAACCCTACCCTGGCTCCATTCCTGGCATTCTGGGGCACCAGAGTGAGGAACTTCTAGCCATGGGCTAAAGAAAATATCCCAGAAGGCTGAGGATTACCTTTGGGACAGCAGATCAATTTTTGTAGTTAGGGCAATTCAGTAACAGGAAGGACCACCTCCGCTGGGAGGAAGCCCTATCAATGGTTATCTAGCTGGAGGCTGGACCAGCACTGGCAGGAAAGGAGTGACTCTCAGGGTAAGCCTAGAGTGACTGAGTCCTAGACCTTTCTACAGTATAACAGCTGGTAGAGAGGAAGAGGGAGGTCAAACAAAGGCAAAGGGTAGGGGTCTAGGGTGTCTGATCAAGGAGTGTGGACTGCTGTTGAGTCATTCATGCATTGTTCATGTATTTATACATCACATCGTGCTTTAAGTACTTACTGTATGCCCAGTGCTGTGTTTGGTAACAGAGGTAAGATGTGAAATTGTGCTGTTGAGGTGCTCAGGGCCTGGTGGGGATGATCAATCCAGACTTGCCTCCTTCCCTTGGAGGCTTGGGCATAGTCACCATCAGGAGGAAGAGAGGGAGCTCCAATCACAGGGCTCCCCATACACATGCTTGGCACCAGGCAACCCCACCCTACTGTCTGGGCAGTCTGGCCCTGGGACAGCCTTGTACTGAGGCCCTGGAGCGGGACGTTCCACTGGCTGAAGAGGGCATGGGGCACTGGGCCCTGTGCCAGACGGTTCCCACTGGCTACCACCACCAGGTAGGGAGGGGGCTGGGGACTGAAGCTAAGAGGCAGCTTGCACAAATGTATGAATGTGGGAAGGTCTAGTCAGGCCCTCAATGCCTCCTGTGAAGCCCTGGCCGCCCCAAGGCCTCTAGCTGCTTGAGGGTTCTCTGCCTCATCCCTGCCCATCCAGCACTTCTCTTGTGGTTTGGCTGCAGACTCCTATTTAATGTTTTTCTCCAGTTTCCAGGGAAAACTAGTGGGCAGGACAAGCCCAATGCCCACCAGGCAATCCCCTCAACACTGCCACTGTCATATGCATACATACCAGAGCAGCAGCTATAGCCTAAACTGCTGGTGGTAGCAAGGACTCTCAGCGTGTACAGCCAGCAAGCAGACGGCTGCGGTCTGAAGGTTTCTTAATCCCAGCCTGAGCTGTGCTGCAAGCTGGGATTTGAGCAGCAAAACTGAGTAGCTGGGACCACAGGCACCTGCCACAACATCTGGCTATTTTTTGTTGCAGTTTGGCCAGGGCTGGGTTTGAACCTGCTGCCCTCGGTATATGGGATTGGTGCCCTACTCACTGAGCCACAGGCGCCACCCTCAGCCCCATTTTATAAGAGTAAAAACTTTAGGCTCAGGGAAGAGATTAGCCCAGGATCCTCTAGAGCAGCGTTTCTCAACCTCTGGGTCGCGACCCTTTTGGATCTTTCTTTTTTTTTTTTGAGACAGAGCCTCAAGCTGTCCCCCTGGGTAGAGTGCCATGGCCTTACTGCTCACAGCAACCTCCAACTCCTGGGCTCAAGCGAGTCTCCTGCCTCAGCCTCCCAAGTAGCTGGGACCACAGGTGCTCACAACAATGCCTGGCTATTTTTTGGTTGCAGCCATTATTGTTGTTTGGCGGGCCCGGGCTGGATTCGAACCCACCAGCTTAGGTGTATGTGGCTGGTGCCTTAGCCACTTAAGCCACAGGCGCTCAGCCTTGGACCTTTCAAGGTTCACGGCATTAGGAAGGTTGAGAACCACTGCTCTAAAGAAAAGTTCAGTAAGCCTAGACCTGGGCTTCCCAACCTACTTAACATCATAGCACACTTAAAAAAACTATCATTGGAGGAAATGAAGAAGGATGTTGGAGGGCTCAGCACCTATAGCTCAAGCGGCTAAGGCGCCAGCCACATATACTAGAGCTGGGGAGTTCGAATCCAGCCTGGGCCAGCCAAACAACAATGACAACTACAACAACAACAAAAAATAGCCACGCATGTGGCGGGTGCCTGTAGTCCCAGCTACTTGGGAGGCTGAGGCAAGAGAATTGCTTAAGCCCAGGAGTTGGAGGTTGCTGTGAGCTATGATTCCATGGAACTCTACCCAGGGCGACAGCTTAAAGCTCTGTATCAACAAAATAAAGAAGGATGTTGGAGGATGAGGCTTTCATGGGAAGTCCTGGGCATTGTAGGTAAGGAGGAAAGTAGAGGTGTCATGGTGGGAGAAAGACCTGGGGCCAGATAACAGACAGCTTTGTAGGCCCCTGGTCAGGAGATAGAGTGAGAGGCCCCTGGAGGCTTTAGGCAGAGGAGTGACATGATCTGATTCCTGTGGCTGCTGGATGGAAGACTGACTGAGAGGCAAGAGAGAAATAGGATTCCAGGGAGGAGGCAGCTGTATTCGCCCAGGTGAGAAGTGATGGTGGCTTAGATTGAGTTGGGACAAGGAAGAAGGGAGAAATAGTGGGATTCTACACAGATTTGGAAGGTAGAGCCTTAGGATTTGCTGACAAATTGGACATGGGTGTGTGAGAAAGAAAAGAGTCTAGGATAACTCCCAGGTCTGAGAAATTGGAAAGATGGAAAGGAACCTTTGGGGCAGAAATGAGAAGTTTTAGATATATTGAGCTTAATGTTGGGGGGCATTTCAGAACTCTAAGTAGAATTAAATAAACATTTGGAGAGTAGCATTCCTAGGAGAAGTGGGATAGAAATGTGGATTCATCACATGAAGATGTTTAAAGCCAGAAGCCTAGATGAGAGGAAGAGGATGGGGACCCAGAAAAGGCAAAAAGTAGTCCAAGGGATTGGAGAAAAATCAGGCAAATGTGGCAATCCAGAAGCCAAGTGAAGAAACTATTTTGAGGAAGGAGAAGTCAGGTTGATATTGCAGAGAGGCTGGGTGAAGACTGAGAATTGACCATTTAGGTTAGGATTATGTAAGAAATCACTGGGGACCTTGACAAGAGTTATCTAATAGATAGGACAAGAGACTGGCTGGCTGGGTTGAAGAGAGAATGACAGCTGAGAACTAGATGCAGCAAATGGGAGCAGAACTGCTGAGGTTTCTGTAAAGGGGAGCTAGACATGGACTGGTAGGTTAGGAAGCATTTACAGATGGGAGCCTGTTTGTACCATGATGGGAACGAAACTGGGCTTACAAAGTATTTGGCACAGTGCCTGGCATTTGGCAGGTACTTAGTACCTGAAGGATTTCACATGTCCACATACCCTACAGCTGCCCTGGCCAGCCACCCATGGGGACATCAACTCCTCTGCCTGAGGACAGAAGGAAACCTGAGTAGTCCTGTTATGTAAAACTCCTTCTGATGGACAGACAGTTGAGCAGGGGCCTGACAGGTGATAGATATGTCAGTACCTTCCTCAGGAACTGAGGGGAAGGATGCAGCCTATCGTCTTTAGGAGAAAGATGGCAGGCCAGGGCTGCTGCTGGGAGGTGAGAGCCTGTGCCCAGGTAGAAAAGCTTCATCCCTTGGCTGCAGGCTTGAGTCATACCCAAGCCTTCTCTTTAGCCTTGCCCTGGATCCCTAATAAGCAAGTGCCAAAGGACCTGTGCCAACCTCCTCACTGTGAGCCACCCTAACCTCCCTCAGACCTGGAGATGAAGGGATCATGAATCCCATTCATTACTAGGAGAAGAAACATAAGATCTTAAGAAGTCTGGCTAAATTCACCCAATGGGGAATGTCACCCACAGAGGGGAGGAGCTCCAGCCACAACCTTTCATTACCTCTTGCTCCAAAGATGTCTTGTTTCATCTGTGTCATGGGTTAGAGATCACTCATCTGTGCTTCCAGCCAGCAGCATTCCCACAAGTGGACTTTGTGGAGTGGAAAGCTGAGCCTTGGCTGTAGCTGAGGCTCTCTAGCCTGCATCTATGTGTGCTAAGAATGTTGGGAAGCTGGGCCTTGGTTCTGGCAGTAATGCCCTATAGCCAGCTCTCCTTGTGCCTGGTTGTGTGGGGAGCCCCATTCCCAGCCTGCTGACTGAGTCATCTCATAACAGTCATCCAATTGGTGTGATAATTAAGAGTCTCGCGGTGCTGATGAAACAGGAAGTATAGGAGGCTGGGCAGGCTGTCCCGGAGGAGCCAGGCTCCATCTGGCCTCACCTGCCCTGAGTTAGGAGACTAAGAGAGCCCTTACCAGCAAATCCTGTTAGGCCTGATATGGGACTGAGGGTCAGACTCTACCCCCAATCTGGGGGCTTGAGAAGGAAAGAGCTCTATCTAGGCTGTCCTGGAGTAGGACAGGTCCTCAGACCATGTTGCAGCCAGGGACTGGAGGCTATGAGAAATGTCTCTCCCAGCCCCCTACAAGCTGTCAATCCCCAGAGAAACATGGAAATCTCAGAGATGAGGTCAGGAAGCGTTTCCTGGACAGAGGAGATGGATTTCCCAGAATTGAGTGTCCAGAAAGATCAAGAGGCTCTCTAGTGGGGATACTTAGGCAGAGTTTACAAAGCTAGTGGGTAGAAGAGCGGGTCACTAGACACCGGATGGCTTCAGTGGTACTCCCTTCCCTAAAGGTTTTGGCCACTACCACTTTTCTTTGAAAGCTGGGCTACCCACACACAGCTCATTGGGACTCTGCCTATTTGCACATCCCCACCCCTGTGCCATTATTCCCTCAAGATTCCTTACATTCACCTACCGGCCTTCTCATTTTTCAGCATAACAAAGCCAGTCAGCCCCCTCATGGTGTCCCCCAACTCTCTCCTCTCTACGAACATTTCAGCAGCCCACACCCCACGCCTGCACCTGCGGACATCAGCCAAAAGCAAGGTATAAGCTTGGGATAGGGAGGGGGCCCAATGAGATCAGAGTTTGTGGCTTCTGAGACCAAGCAGACCATTTTATAACCAGAGATCCTAGAGCTGTGCAAACATAAGCCCAAAGAAAATACCAGAAAGATGGAATAGAGGTATGTGAGAGCACCATAAGGGGAAATAGTGCCAGGTCAAAATTTAAAGGCTTTATAAAGTTTGAGGTAGGAGCCTAAATCCTGTGGGTAACCCCCACTGCCAGTATGGGAGCAGGCAATTATGCATTGCTGGTAATTGTGAAACTGTAGCCTTTCCCTCCCCCCAGTGAGAAAATGGAAAGTGGTGGTTATGATGGCTGATTCACCTCAGCCTCAGGCAAAGTCATTCTGAAATCCACCACTGTCAGCTGTGGGAAACCTGCTGAGTTAACCTTGGGGGGCAAGTAGAGCTCTGGCTCCCCAAGCCAGGCTGGAGTTCCCAGCAGAGGCCCCAATTGAAGACCCGTAGTGGACCAGGAAGTAGCAAGGCCTGATCTCACATTCCTGAGTTACTTCAGCTTTAAGTACTGGCCAACTGGTGTCCTGAGGTAACTCACCCAGCCCCTCTGCCCTTGGCTCCCTTACCTGTCAAAGAGGCACTATCATTACACTGGAATAGTCTTGAATAAACCAGTTTATGTCTAGTTCTCTAGCAAAAGGGGGTGGGATCTTAGAGGCTCTAGGATGCAGTAACTGAAGTGGCTTGCCAGGTCAGGCCAGCGTACTTACATAGCCTCTCTCTCCCCTACAGGAGCTCATAGGCCTCTGCAGACCCCTGACCTCTCTGGCTTCTACTCTCTGACCCCAGGCAGCATGGGACAGCTCCCTCACACTGTGAGCTGGTAAGTATGGGCCCAGTGGGAAGGGACATCTTACAATGGTTGTACTTGCCCTTACATTTCCCTCCTTTGTTCTTCTGCATTGGGCATCCTGCTGCCAGCTCTGTACAAATACCAAGGGCTGGCTAGCAGCTCTACCCCAACCTGGCTCTGAGACAGGGATCCTCATGGCCCCCTGGCATTCCCCAGGTAGCCTGACACACTCCAGGTAAGAGAGCTGGCTCCTGGTCCCAGCTCTGCCAGAAAGTCTCCTCAGTAGCTAAGAGACTTGGTCTCCTCATTCCCTCTGGGCTGAGAGGAGAACTCTGGGCTGCTTAAGGACTTCCAGAGCCATAAGTACACGAGGAAGAAAAAGTAGGCCTGAGTAGGGAGGCAACTCACCCAACCTGCTCAGCATGAAGGGCCACCAGAGAGGCTGATGCTTCTTAGTTGCCTGACAGACAAGAGTATACTTCCTACTGGCCTCAGTGCCTGCTGCTGGGAGTGCCTTCTCTTCCTTACTGAATTGCCCAAGGAATTCTTTATGGTGCCTGCTTGTACCCAAGCAACTGACAGCTTGCCTGAACAGTCTCCTAAGGCTGGGCCAGGAAAAGGCAGCCTGGATCCTCAAGTGAAAAGGCCTGACTGGGGGCCAATAGGCCTGTCCTCCATAGAGCTGAGCAGGCTACTTGGCACTTTACTCATCAACCACAGTATGATGTGCACAGATCTCTAGCCTTTCTGGATTGGGGCACTCACCCAACAGCAAGAAAAATGTGGCTTCCTAGGGAAATAGGGTAAGTCATAGGCCCAACCTGGGGCCCACCTGCCCCTTTTCACTTGTGCAGCACACGCCTCTATTTTCAGATTCTCCTTGGACAAAGCTCCATTCTGAATACAAATTAGAACTACCCCACATGTACCCCAGTATCAAAGTGGAGAGAATCTCTGGGCCAAACTCTCAAAAACATCCCGTAGGCCAGAAGTTCTAAAGACCAAGAGATTTGAGCCTACGGCAAATAGGAATTCTGTGCTTTTTGTTTCCACCATGTAGTGTTGACTGGGAGGAGAAAAATGAGGGTGTCTTTAGCCACCTCTGCACTGAGTCTTGCTGTGATAGGTAGGGTTCTGGGCACGGGAAGCACTGCTTACATTGATTGATCCTTAGTTTCCTGCCCTCTCAAACTTAGTCCACCTAGGGAACAACCTAAGCAAGAAGCCAATTACAGGACACTGTTAGAAGTGCTTTGACTAGGGGACTGTAGGTGCCGAGACAGGTGCCTCATCCTACTTGGGAATTTCAAGACTTTAGGGAGAAAGGGTCACTTAGCTAAGCAAGGCCTGAAAGGATGCACAGAAGTTGAAGTAGGCACAGTAGGGCAGAAGAACAATCTAGCATCAACAGTAGGTGCTTTCTGAACCAAGCAGCTGAGACAGAGAAAGGGAAAAAAAAAATAACAGTGGATACAAGGGCCCTAGAACAGGGTATCAGCCTTATATTGTCAAGGAAACTGAGGAGACAGAAGAGTCTAGGGGCCTGCTAAGCTAGGTAGATAGAAAGCTGCCCTTGGCTTGGCGCCTGTGGCTCAAGCGGCTAAGGCACCAGCCACATACACCTAAGGTGGCAGGTTCAAATCCAGCCCGGACCGCCAAACAACAATAATGGCTACAACCACAAAATAGCCGGGCGTTGTGGCGGGCGCCTGTGGTCCCAGCTACTTGGGAGGCGGAGGCAGGAGACTCGCTTGAGCCCAGGTGTTGGAGGTTGCTGTGAGCAGCAAAGCCATAGCACTTTACCCAGGGGGACAGCTTGAGGCTCTGTCTCATAAAAAAAGAAAGCTGCCCTTTCTGTCCCTTAAGTACCAATACAAGCCTATAGAAAGAGGTGCAGCCCAAGTTGCCCCCTGGTGGCAGATCCTCAACACTGGATTGGTCCCAGCAGCGGCCCTTGTGTCTGGTTTTGGGTCAGCCCACGCCAAGTGGGGGAAGTCCTTCCCCATGTCTGGCCAGCAGCCAGACTGCTAACAGCTGTCTCTCCTAACCACAGGCCCAGCCCTCCTCTCTACCCCTTGTCCCCTTCCTGCGGATATAGACAGCACTTCCCTGCCCCCACTGCAGCCCCTGGCACCCCCTACCCCAGGTGAGTCCCCTACCCTGCAGCCAGGCGCCTGCTTCTTGTCGCCCAGGCTTCAGTGCCCACCCAAGGCCAGGCCCAGGCCAGTGCTTGCCCTGTGTTAGTCTTTTGTCCATCTGTCCGTCTGTCATTCTGTAACTCCCTGCTACCCTGTGCCTGAGAGCAAAGGTAGTAAGAAGAGGTCTTAGCCCAAGCCATACTGGGCAGCAAAGCACTGCATGTACACATGGCTTAGCCTGTGTGTACTCACCAAAGATGGCTCAGGACTGTCCTGGGCATCCCCAAACTCTGCCGAAGCCATGTCAACATCTTTTACATAAGTGTCCCTAACCTCAGGCCTTTAGGGGCTGCCTGCTTAGTGGCCCACCAGTGTAAGCAGTAAGGAGCAGAGTGGTCTCCACTGAATTAAGAAAGTAAAGTGGTCCTCCGGGAGCAGTGGCTCACACCTGTATTCCTAGCATCCTGGAAGGCTGAGGCGGGTAGATTGCTTGAGCTCACAAGTTCGAGACCAGCCTAAGCAAAAGCAAGACTGCATCACTACTTAAAAAAATAGAAAAACTTGAGCCCAAGTTGGAGGTTGCTGTGAACTGTGGTGCTACAGCACTCTACCCAGGGTAATAGCTCAAGACTATTAAAAAAAAAAAAAAAGTGAAGTAGGAAGTATGTGTGCACGTGTCCCTTCACTTAGCTCGCTCTCTTAGTGACAGACCTGGAACTAGGTATGAAACAGCAAGAGATGTGGCAGTCATTTCCAGCCTTGCTGGAACTCACAGCCCAGGGTAGGAAGTATAGCCGCAGCAGCAGCTGAATGGGCCATCTGGGTGATGGAGAAGCTCAAAGGAGACCCCAGCCAAGACTTGATAGATTAGGGAGAGCTTCATGTAGAGAGGGTAGTATGTTTTGAAAGAGGACAAAGGGAACCTTAGTAACTGAGGCTGGCTGGGGAGTAGGGATTGATGGAAAGCAGCAGGGAAGAAATGAGGCTAGAAATGTCACCAGGGATGCTTATATAAGGCTGTGCAGGCCCCCAGGAAGAGCCTGAGTTTTATTCTGCAGGTAGTAGGGGAACTTCTGCAGGAACAGGTCAGGATCATTCAGGTATTTTTTAAAAGGTCACTCTGGCTATTGTGTAGAGGTCTGGAGGGGTCAAAGTAGGAGTGTGAGGAGGTCCCTAGGGAGCCACAGGCTCCTGAGGCTGGGTTGCCAAGGTAGGATGTGAGAAGGGGACAGATTCGAAAGCTACTTGGGACCTATTGAACAGCCAACCACCTGAGTGGCATATACGTAGATTTTTGCATTGTGTCTGTGCAATGTGTTGGGAGCAGATATTTGTATTTATCTGTGTACTTATGTCCACCTCAATGGGGGTAGGGTATCTGTTCATCTGTGTCCTTGTGTACTACTATGCAGGGGCCTGTGTGTGTGTACAAAGGTCTGGACTAGAATTCCTAGCTCAGTGTTAACTCTTCTCCTGCCTCTAGGTTCACCCACCCATCTTTGATGCTAGGTTCCAGTGTACCTGGTCATCCTGCAGCCATCCCTCACCCAGCCATTGTACCCCCCTCAGGGAAGCAGGAGCTACAGCCTTACGACCGCAGCCTGTGAGTGAAAAGACATGATGGGGAGGGAAGCAAGAAAAGGGTGGGATGGGCAGGTGAGTAGATAGATCTATTCGTCAGCCAGGATATATATGACTCCCACTAGGCTCAGGAGGCCCTTGGTCAAGCTGTCTTATGGCTCTGGCTACTGATCACTGCATTTTTTGATCCTCAGGAGGTGCTTAAGGAACAAGGAGTTTGTTTCAGCCAAGAAATGAGGGGCTGAGATGTCCTTAACACATGCTCTTCCTACTTGGCTATGGTATTCCCATAAGAAAGTTACTTAGCTCTCTGCTCACCCATTTTGGGGCAGCTAAAAGATTCCATTTACACCCTAGTGTCATATACTTAGGTACACACTGGACCCAACTAGAGGAAGGTGCTACCATTAGGTGAGTGTTGGGGTGGGGAAGCTCCTGAGCTATCTGGGTCTGTACCCCTCAGGAAGACACAGGCAGAGTCCAAGGTGGAGAAGGAGGCCAAGAAGCCAACTATCAAGAAGCCCCTCAATGCCTTCATGCTGTACATGAAGGAGATGAGAGCCAAGGTCATTGCAGAGTGTACACTCAAGGAGAGTGCTGCCATCAATCAGATCCTGGGTCGCAGGGTAAGCCCATGGGCAAGTGGGCTGGCAGGGATGGCTCTGATCATCTTCACCCTGGTGCAGCTTATTGACTCCCTGATGTACTCCATCTGCCCCGCTTCCCTATTGCAGTGGCATGCGCTGTCGCGAGAAGAGCAGGCCAAGTATTATGAGCTGGCCCGCAAGGAGAGGCAGCTGCATATGCAGCTATACCCAGGCTGGTCGGCACGGGACAACTACGTGAGTGGCCACTGACACAAGGAAGGGGCGGGTAGGGCATCCTGAGATACCATGCGCTAAGGCTCCACCTCAGCAGGGAGGGTAAAACTACTGTCCTGAAGGCACAGATAAGGAAGAACAAGGAGAGTCCAGGCTGACAAACCATCCCCTGAGGGCAAGCCCACATCCTTTTCCCCACTCTAGAATGCACTCACACATGGGGCTGTTGCCCAGTATTTCACTGGGCCACATGGGTATTGGGAGAGGGAGCAGCCCCTAAATTGCAACCCCACACAAGAACTACAATCAATAAACACCAGGGCCTGACAGTAGGAGGGACCTATATGCCCAGAATCCCAGGGGCAGCCAGGCCAGGCGGCAGGCTACAGATAGCCAAGTATCTACTTCCCAGATCTGAGCATCCTTTTTGTTCCCTACAGGGAAAGAAAAAAAGGCGGTCAAGGGAAAAGCACCAAGAATCTACCACAGGTGAGGCCTTCCCTTAGTAGCAGTGTAGACTCTTCTCCATGCCCTCATTTCAAGGCCCAGAGTGAGAGTGAGAGTACTCACCCAGGAGCCTTCAGGGACTAAGGCTGCATCTGACAGGTCTCCATACAAGTAATAGCTATACCAAGTGCTAGGGAGACCAGCTAAAACCAGGTCATGTAGCAAGTGGTATATTGCCTTTCCGTGCCCCCACACCTCACCTTTGCTAGCTCTGCTTACAGGTAGCCTCTACCAGACTCTACCAGAGAGGCTAGTGAGCAACTCACTGTATAGTTTAATGCATAACACAAACAATGCACCTTGGCTAATTCTCTGTCCAGGTATTGGCTGAGTCAGGCCCCATACTTAGGCCCAATAGTCACACAGCCTGCTGAAGCCTAGCAATTTGTCACCCTCCTCATCCCCATTTTTCATAGCCATGCAAAGTGCTCCATGTTAGAGGAGGGCCAATACCCCATTGTAGGCCTCCTTCCTGTGGGTGAACACTGCCCCCAACTCTGATAACTCAGATTGCCACATGGGGAAGCTGAGAGATAGGAGTAGGACAAGGCAGAGTCCCCAGCCCTTTCTCTGAGGTAAGAAATGGGCCCTTTTTTTTCATCTGGAAGTGTGTACAACAGGCATAAGCAATAGGCTTAGCTTTATCTCTTGAAGGAAGATTGGGCATTGATAAGAATAAAGAAAAGCTGGATAGAATGGGTAGCCCTAATGCATAAGAGGCTGGATCCTCATGGACTTCTCTGGGCCCTTATCCTGCAGCCTCTATGCTGCAAGGAGCCCACAAGCCACAGAGAGGAGCCAGCCTGAGAGGACCCCTTCCCCCACCCCCACCATTCTTCCCACTACCTCCCCTGCCCAGCTGGGTACCCACCTTTGCTGATACCTTGCTCTGGGCTCCCAGTGGGGCTGGCTATGCCATAGAGAGGCCTATTCTGCCTATGGGGGCTGTGGGGGATCTATAACTGGCTAACACTGATGTACCTCTTCTTTCTGGGCCCTGTTCTGCCCTGCTGCCTACCTGCTCACCTTCTGCCCTGCTCTGCCCCTCTGGCATGTCTGTGCGCAGACCCTGGCTCGCCTAAGAAATGCCGTGCTCGCTTTGGCCTCAACCAGCAGACGGATTGGTGTGGTCCGTGCAGGTGGGTTTGTCCCCACCATCATTCTCCTTTTGCTTCAAGCTGCTTCCCTTGACTCTATACATGTTCTGCTGGGGCTGTGGCCCATTCCTTTGGCCCCTCAGCCCTCTAGCATACCCAGATTGGGGAATCCATACCCACTAAGATGGATCTAAACACATTATAGATTATGGAGATGATCACCTGGATCTAAATGGAAGGAGGAGTAGAAGGAATGTTCCAAAAGGCAGGCTCAAGGAGGTGGCCCTAGTGCTAGTCAGGCCTTGCTGGTCCACAACAGGTAAATCTCTCACATACCACTCTTACCAACTACCTCACTACAAGTTAGGATCCCTGCCTGCGCCATCCTAAGCTCTTAAATCTGAGAAAAACACAGTGACAACAGTACAGAACCACCTTAATAACCTAGTTGCTATCTTGATCCTTCAGGTCTTGTTTAGCTAAGTGACTCTTTCTTCCCCCAAAGTCTTGAAATTCCCAGGTTGGATGAGGTACCTGTCTGGGCTCCAACAGTCCCCCAGTCAAAGCACTTCTAATAGTGTCCTATTGGCTTCTTGCTTAGGCTGCCCCCTAGGTGGAGTGAGATTGAGAAGGCAGGGAACTAAGGATCAATGTAAGTAGAGCTTTCCCAATTCCCAGAACCCTGCCTATCACAGCAAGGCTCAGTGCAGAGGTGGCTAAAACACCCTTACTTGCTATCTTGTACCTGAGACCAGAGGGCTAGAGAAAGGAGCATGGGTAGTCCTGGTCTGTCTTAGGCAAAGGGTCCTGTGGCACCAAGCCTCTGTTTCAACATATGTTCAACAGAGAAATATTTGTGAGCCTGAAAATGTTTATTTACCAGTGGTTAGTTGCCTTGTTTAGGTTCAGGCCAGGCCTGGCAGAGCCACAACCAAGGTAGTAAGGTCACTGGCTCTAAGGAACACTTGTCCAGCAACTCAGTGAGCCCTCCACACTCCCTGTCCAAGGGCAAAGAGGAATTTTTAATGTATATGTGTACAATGGGAAACAGCCCTATTCTCAGAGGGGGTCCTCTTCCCTCTAGTTCATGCTACTCAAGAGACAAACTGACCCAGAGGACTCTAGTATGGTAAAGGATGAAACAAGTCAGTATTCACTTTTCCCCCAACCCAGCTCTGAGGACTAAGATTGCTTAGCAAAGGCGGCACAGGAATTGTAGCCCCTTGAAGAAGCTCAAAGGTTCAGACTAGGTGATGGCTCCTGTGGAAATAGGAGGCGGCCTGGTACAGATCTAGCTACAGAAGGCCCCCATGCCATCCTGTGGCTATTCTGAGAACTGCACTTTGTACTAGGTCTGGGCCAGGACAAGAACAGTCGCAGTGCTGATTCAGGTCAGAGAGCACTGACACATCCATCACCCAAACAAGGGGGAGAGGGGATAAGAGATCAGCCAGCCTTGTGCAAAGACAGAACTTTTTGGTTGTGGTGTGTGACTATGAATTCACCCTCTGTTTACAGATAACTCTCTTCACTATTCCTAGGAGGAAAAAGAAATGCATTCGGTACTTACCCGGAGAAGGCCGCTGCCTCAGCCCCATTCCTTCCGATGACAGTGCTCTAGGCTGTCCTGGGTCCCCAGCTCCCCAGGACTTGCCCTCATACCTTCTGCTGCCCTGCGTCCCTACAGAACTGTTTTCTAGCCCTGCGGAGTTGGCACCTACACCCCCAGGTCTCTCTACTGCTCTCAGCCTCCCAGCCTCAGTGCCCCTACAAGTGCCCCACAGTGCCCTGCAGAGTACACAGGTACAGCAACAGGAATCTCAGAGACAGGCGGCCTAGCAGGCACAAGACACCTGACTTCCTCCAGAGACCCACCACCTGAGAGGAAGCAACAGAGGCTCAAATCACGTGGAAACTAGCTAGGGGTCCTGTGAACACCATCTGTTTCTAGACCTTGAAGATTTCAGAGGCTGCAACAATTTCTGCCTGAACCTGAGGCTGTTGATTCAAACTGCTCTGAATGGTGGGAATCAGATCTGTGTTGATGTCAACTGATTAAGCGCACCCCTTGTACCGATAAGCAGCCTGCATCTATTCTTTTTACCATCTGTCTTGCTAGCCAGAAGCTTCTGCCTCCTTATTTTTCTGCTACAGGCCACAAAGGGGCTAGCCTAAACCCAGCTACCTTCCCTATCACCCACTGCCACATGCTCCCTATACCAGATACTTCATGGACCATGAACAAGCTGGTTTGTTAAAACAACATGTGAGCACGGTCACAACCACAAAAAACTCAAGATGACAATGCTTCTCTTAAGGGAATGGAGATACTCTGTTTACAGAAAACCAGCTGCTACTCATAAGCTTCTTACAGTGTTCTCAGATGCCTGCAAGAAGCTTAGGGGAGGGAACGGAATAGGTTAAGTTTAGACCTATCAACCTAGGCAGTAAGAATAACCTGACACAACCCTGTCAAAGCAGTGTGGGTGGAAGGGATATCTGGCTCTAGCTCAAAAGAAACTCATCAACCTAAGAAGCCCTGACCCCAAGACCTCAGGTTTGTCACTAGTCGTGACAGGTTATAGTTGAAAATAGTGGTGGCCCAAATTTGACATGCATCCCTTCTCATTCCCTAAGATTTTTTTGCAGTTCCATTTCCAGTTCATCCGTGGCAGCCTAGCCAGCTCGTAGGCAGCTGACAGAACAAACCCCAAACTTCAGGCCAAAGCCTATCTTCTAACATTGAAACCAGGCCAGCTTTAATTTCCCTATGTGTCTGCAAAGAGGAAGACCATTACAACTAAAGTAAGGAGCCTGGAAAACCTCTTTGTAGTGGTGAACAGGTTTTTAACACAGCCTACTTAGTCTATTTTTGAGCCAAGCTTCGACCCTGAGCCTTGAAAAACAAGTTCAAATTAACTTTGTTTTTAGCATCCTCCTCACTGTACATAGCCTGAATCCAAAGAAAAAGGGCTGTCCGTGTACTCACACACATCCCTCAGGAAAAGGTTTTAGTTCCTATTTTAGCCATTGGTTTCTCAGAACCCAAAGATCACATATTTTAATGTCACATTGCAAGAAGTCTTGAGAAATAAGGACCATTGTAGTGTTTAAGATATTTTTGTATTGTTATTGCATCATCATAGAAAAACTGTTTTAAACATGAGAATAAAGATACTTTTTACTGGGTTTGTTTTTCAAAGCCTAACCTTGAGGAATAAGCTATTACAGCAACAGAGCATGACTTGTTACTTTTCTTTAGTCATGAAACTAGGAGTTTATTCCCTATTATGGTACACATGTTATCAAACTTCCAACCTACAGAAGTCAAACATTACCTTCATCGCCTCCCTAAAGGGGCTTGGGCCCTGCCCCACAGAGTGCTTACCTTCATTCAACCTTACTCTTTAACTCCTCAATCCTCTGACCCCATAACTTTGGGACCAGTCTGCTCTCCAATGCTCATGAGAATAAATGATTGGAAACTGCTATCTGTAGATCTTGGAAAGACAATCCAACCTGAAATAGGTACACATAACCACTAGGCTCCATTTTCCTCTGAGGACAGAGAGAAAAGACAACATTCACAAATGTGTGTCTTATTTTAAGGAAATTAAGAATCTTTTATAACCTTGTATCAAATCCTAAAGGATTTTTTTTTTTTTTTCAAAATTAAATCCAGGCCAGCACAGTGGCTCACGCCTATAATCCTAGCACTCTGGGAGGCTGAGGCAGGAAGATCACTTGAACTCAAGAGTTTCAGACTAGCCTGAGCAAGACCAGGCCCCCATCTGTACTAAAAATAGGAAAATTGACCCTGTCTCTATTAAAAATAGAAAAATTAGCCCAGTATTGTGGTGGGTGCCTATAGTCCCAGCTACTTGGGAGACTAAGGCAGGAGGATTGCTCGAACCCAGGAGTTTGAGGTTGCCATGAGCTAGGCTGACAGCACTATATCTACCCTTGAGTAACAGAGTAAGACTCTCAAGGAAAAAAAAAAAAATTCAAGATCCCATAGGCTAGGTGAAGTGGCTAAGGCCTGTAATCCTAGCACTCTAGGAGGCCGAGGCAGGTGGACTGCCTTAACTCACAGGCTTGAAACCAGCCTGAGCAAGAGTGAGACCACCCCAATCTCTAAAAACAGGCATCATGGCAGACACCTGTAGTCCCAGCTACTGAGGTGGCTGAGACGAGAGAATTGCTTGAGCCCGAGAGTTTGAGGTTGCTATGAGCTATGATGCCACAGCATGCTACCAAGGGCAACAAAGTAAAATTCTGTCTCAAAAAAAAAGAAAAAAGTAAATAAAAAACAGGGCAGCACCTGTGGCTCAGTGAGTAGGGCACAGGCCCCATATACCGCGGGGGGCGGTTCAGACCCAGCCCCAGCCAAACTACAATAAAAAAATAGCCAGGTGTTGTGGCGGGCACCTGTAGTCCCAGCTACTCAGGAGACTGAGGCAAGAGAATAACCTAAGCCAAAGAGCTGGAGGTTGCTGTGAGATGTGATGCCATGGTACTCTACTGAAGGCAACAAAGTAAGACTCTATCTCTTTAAAAAAAAAAATAAATAAACGGGCGGAGCCTGTGGCTCAAAGGAGTAGGGCACTGGCCCCATATGCCGGAGATGGCAGGTTCAAACCCAGCCCTGGCCAAAAACAGCAAAAATAAAAATAAATAAAATCAAGATCCAATGTAAGGCAAGGACATTTTAATAGCACCTTTTCTTTATACAGTCTGCTGTTATGAAGTACTTTTCATACTGTCACACAAGACCTCTGTTGTGTGACAGATCTACAGCCTACTTTTTACATAGCAGTTTCTATTATGTTACAGTGCTAACTTCCTGAGACCTACCATGAATAAAGCCACCTCAATAGGTCACTCAACCATTAGATGATAAATGTTTGGCTGTGTTTCACAAGATAGCCATATATCACCATCATGTAATTTTCACTTAAGAGTTTATAATTTTGGCTAGGCGCCTGTGGCTCAAACAGCTAAGGTGCCAGCCACATACACCTAAGGTGGCGGGTTCAAATCCAGCCCGGGCCCACCAAACAACAATGACGGCTGCAACCAAAAAAATAGCCAGGCATTGTAGTGGGCGCCTGTGGTCCCAGCTACTTGGGAGGCGGAGGCAGCAGACTTGCTTGAGCCCAGGAGTTGTAAGTTGCTGTTAGCTGTGATGCCACAGCACTTTACCTAGGGGGACAGCTTGAGGCTCTGTCTCAAAAAAATAAAGAGTTTGTAATTTGGGGATTTGATGTTTAAAAATATTTATAAATAGAGGCGGCGCCTGTGGCTCAGTGGGCAGGGTGCTGGCCCCATATGCTGAGGGAGGCAGGTTCAAACCTGGCCCTGGCCAAACTGCAACCAAAATATAGCCAGGCGTTGTGGTTGGTGCCTACAGTCCCAGCTACGCGGGAGGCTAAGGCAAGAGAATCGCCTAAGCCCAGGAGTTGGAGGTTGCTGTGAGCTACCGAGGGTGACAAAGTAACACTTTGTCTCTAAAAAAATATATATATATTTATATTTATATTTATATTTATAAATAAATTCATCTTCCAGAGTAGTGTCTATTGAAAGTAGTCCACTGAAGGGTATAACCTCAGACATACTTCTTTCTGGGAGGGTGCTAGAAGAGACCAGCCATTCTTGACATCTGTCCCATTTAAAAGAATTCCACTTTGGCTGGCCTGGTTTAAAAAAACTACATTCTAACCAAAGCTTATTCAAGACTGGACTGCTGCATCTGATTTGGTGTCTCATTTACAGTACACCAGGTACACAAACAATGTGCCCTCTGTATGTGAGAACAGAGAGAGGGTATTCTGGCAACTTTCTAAGTCAGACAAGCCTTAAAAACAAAAAAAAAAAGAAAAGAAAAAACACCAAAATCTCCTGACTTCAAGAAGGAAACTCAAGTTCTCCCAAATCACACTGGCACTTATCTATGAGACTTAGGAATGACTTGAAATTGCAACATCAATAAAGTTCAACTTTAAATACCATACCAATCCCACCTCACTCCAGCTGAGAATAACTTCTATTCTTGCAGACATCACAGGATGAGATGTATAAAGGACCCTAGGCTCCTTTATACATTCCCACACAACTCATACACTTGTAACTTACTTGAAGTACAGATCTTGATCCTTCCCCTGGTGTAGCTGTTCCCTATCCTGTGCTTGGTGAATATAGGGAAAGAGCTCAGCCCAGCAAGCTAGTAGAGCTTTCCCATGTCTCTAAATTTGAAGGTGTTTCCTTTTACAAGAGGCTCATCTTGAGGCTCTCTTCTGTTTTGTAACTATCTTTTGAATGGCTCCCATGATCTCAAGTTCTTCTTGGCTGTGGAAGTTAAGCTGGCTCAGAAGCACTGCTGCCTAGCTGTGTTCGTTATGTAATAAGCCTGGTTAGGAAGGCCAGAAGTAGCCGGAAGCAGAATGGTTCTTTACATCGATTGTTTATATACATGTTACATTATTGTTATTTACATCCATTTCTAGGAAAATAAACAGAACAGAAGGGGCAAGAGTAACAAGGCCATATCAAGAATTTAAGGCCCTAAACTATTAATTACATTTAAAGCTAAGTTGGCTTTCTTTGAAGTTAGCACAGATGAGAGGTAACCAACAGTATATAATACTGAAAGGCAATAAGTACATCACCTATGAATTAAACTATCATTCAAACTAAGTAAGTTCCATATGGGAAATACAGAGGGTGCCAAAAAATGCATATACATTTTAAGAAAGAAAAAAGCTGTATTAAAATTATAATACTCAATATATAATGCTTGCTATGCTGTATACTGTATCTTGTGTCTCACAATTGAAGAAGTCAAACATAACTTAGTATTATAATTTTAGTGGTTTTTTTCCTTTTGTAAAATGTGTATACTTTTTTTTGGCACCCTGTGTATATCAAGCAAGAGCCCTTTCAACAACATCTTTATAACATCAACAATGTTCTCTTCTACTGACAGTTCAGCAGCAAAGATAAAATTCACTAAATCCTGCTTAGATGTCCAAATAGCTCAATCTTGAGCAAGAGACATGTTTTAAACTATTTCCTATCTTGACACGCACATTTAGTTCTCTTACTCATTCTCTTTGCCCATTGGAGGTACTGAATTTTAATGGTAAACAAGAGTAAGTCATGAGGACTCTAATTGTAAAATCCCTAACATTCAGAAGAGTGCCTCAGTTCAACACCAAAAAAAGTTTAGTATAAATGCCCAAAAACCACCCTGCCTAACATGGGTTGGATAAATACTCGAACGAAATACTGTTCTGGAGTGTCAAAGTACTAGCAGTCAGGCCTTAATTTCTCTTTTCAGTCTGTATTCACAGACAGATGTACAATACAGACACCCAACCTTTTTGCTGCTACGTCTAGACTGAGCGCTGCTTTCCTCCTCAGGTTGGCATTCCCTCCAACCAAATCCAACTTGACTTTTGACACCAAATTAGTTTAATTTGCAGAATTTTGCCTAGACTCTTCCAGCCTTATAGCCCCCTTAATACATAAATACTCCTTCCCAGCAGTATTTATGCCTTGTCTCCTGAACTACACCAAAAGCTCTGAAGAGGGAAGCAATGTCTTATGCTTCCTACAAGGTAACAGAAGCCAGGACTATACTTCACAGAACCAACCATTTCATAAACTTTCTCTTTACTTGCAATCGTCTCCCTTTTACTCAACTACTTTCTTGGCTGGCAATCAGTTACACAAATCTAGATAATAGAAAATTTATCCTCTTAAATGGTGAAACAACTTTTTAGGAAGAACATTTACTTTATTAATTCTTCCCACCTCAATATATACTGAGCTTTTATTCTTTCATGTTTTAGAGACGTCTATCACCCCGGTGAGATTGCAGTGGTATCATCATGGCTCACTACAACCTCAAACTTCTAGGGCTCAAGTGATCCTCCCATCCATGTCTCTCAAGTAGCTAATACAGGTGCATGCCACCATGCCTGGCTATACTGAGCTTTAGAAAAACCAAAAAGATCTTCAAAGAGAAATGGTGGTAAGCAAAATTTAAGCTTCTGAAAATGAGCAAGATTCAGATAGCCATGGATAAGGTAAAAGATACTCAAAGCAAGAGGTCTGTTTCTCTCAGTCCTCTCTCCTTTCTAGTAAAAACCACTTCAAATCCCCAAATTGCCTTATTGAGAGCCTACAACCAGGCATCCTCAAACTATGGCCCGCAGGCCACATGGGGCCCACCTAGGACATTTATCCAGCCTGCCAGGTGTTTTGCTGCCACTACCTGTCCTGCTTAGCAGCCGACTTGACCCAGGGCCGCAGTCTGGCCCTCCAATGGGACAGTGAACCGGCCCCCTGCTTAAAAAGTTTGAGGACCCCTGGCCCAGACCTTAATTAAAAAAAAAAATTTTATATTGGAATCAGAAAACAGACCATAGGATTGGCCATTGAAAGATTATGTGGTTTGAAATATATGCCTGCCCTAAGT